GTGAGAGAGAGTAAGAGAGAAGGAGAGGTATAGAGAGAGAGAGAGAGAGAGAGAGAGAGAGAGAAAGAGAGATGTGGAAGTTAAGATGGCTGGATCCCACACAGCCAACTGGATGGTTTGAGTCCCAGACTTGGCAGCATGAAATCACACTGGGTACAGGTGTGTGCATGCCCCAAATCCCAAGAGCATTATGCAGGTGAAGGCACCATGGCATGGCCATCCCTCGGGGGTGAGGGGTGATTTCTCACTTTCTCTTTCTGTCTCTCTCTCAAGCGAGCGCAAGTGTCCTATAACAAACCAACAAAACAAGAAAAAGAAAAATGTAAGTTTGGGCAAGACTAATTTTGATTTTATGAGACCATAGATGATACTAGGGTTAGGAATCTGTCTCCAGAAAGAATGTTCTACAGCTAGATAAGTGAGTCAGCAGGGAGGGAGCTCAAGGAAACACTGAAAAGGAAGGCTACCAAGGTAATTGTCAGTACCCTTCGTCCCGGGCTATAATTTGATTACGCCATATTTTGTTAGGCACCACTACAAAGCAGCTCAGCTAAAATGACTGTTTTTACAACAACATGGTTTCTACAAAAAGCAAGTGCTATATTCCATTTTGTGACATTAAAGATGTTTTCACTGAAGAAAAATCAGAGTTGGGAGAGTAATCTCCCAAATTTACAAAATGGTGGTGGTAATGGGGGTGGGAGGGAGACTAGGAAAACAAAAAGGGCAGAAAATCAGAGGTAGTACAAAGGGAGGATGTCAAGTCCACCCAGTAATCCAATCCTGTCTCTCTAAAATGACATTTAAACTCTCTGTGTTGTACCGTGTGGTAGCCAGCAAGTACATGAAGAAATTTTAAGTTTAATCTAAATTAAAAGTGCAGTTCCTCAACATACTAGCTACATGGGTCAACAGCCCATGTGGCTAGCCTACTGTACTGGAGGACAGGGACAGAACACCTCCATGGCAGGATGTTCTACTGGAGTGTACTATCAAGTACAAGGAGACTTAAAAAAAAAATCATAGAAAGATGTTAAAGGATGAGGTTATTTGGAGTCAAGAAAAAATTTTCAAACCCGTACATAGCTTTTACATAAACTTTGAGATCTTTACATATTCAAATAGCTTAATAATCTTTTAAATATTCTAGACCACTTTTTAAAAAATTAGATTTACAGGGCCAGCAGGTGGCATGGTGGTTAAGGTACTGGACTCTCATATGGCCGACTGCAGTTCAATTCCTGGACCTGGTGGCTTGCTTTTTCACTTTCTCTTTTTCTCTCTCTGGACAAGTAAAAAAAAAATTAAAAATAAATAATTTTAAAAATTAGATTTATTTTGTCTATGAGCATTTCATACAGAAGCATTAGATTCCTTTCTCACCTACACTCTGTGGTGACAAGGACAATGGGTATTTGTCTCAATATTTTTTCAGAAGTTGAAAAATTTCTATCAAAATATCTCTAAATAAACATTATGTAAATATATATTCTGAACACAAGTGAACAGAACATTAAAGGAAATCTGAAAACAGTGGCTTCCTTTTCACAACTTCTAAATAGACTGCAAAACCAGTGCTTTTGGTTACACTGTAGTTCCTATTCCTTGATGTTTCACATAGTTAGAGATGGGCCCGGCTGTCATTAACTAACCAGCACTGACAGACGGTTTCCAGAGCAGCGCACTGGTAAAAATCTCTGCAAGGCTGCAAAACGCAACAGGGACACAAAACAGAAAATCTCCCAAAGACCTTAAAACAGTTTAATCTTCAGTGATACTGCATCCTCACAGCTTTCCCAGGTGTGTGTTTTTTTTTTTTCTTTTAGGTTTT